TTTTGTTGTTATTTGATACTCCCCGTAGCATGCTTTCCCCTCCCCATCTTTAACTATGAATAGCTACTTTTATTTTCCGTTGTATATGATTTATTTGCATAGGTTTATTTGGTAGTCTGGTTCTAGCCTCGTCACTACTTCGTCGAGGTTAGGCTAGGCACTTACCAGCACATGGGGTCAGTTGTGCTGATACTACACTCTGCACTGTGTGCAGAAACTGGTACCGAAGCATTTGGACCGCAGTGAGGTTGCTGCCTTCAGTCCAACAGATGACCCGAGGTAGTTCGCGGGCCTTGGCGTCTTCTTCTATCATCTCTTTTCTGTTTTTACTTATTCAGAGACAGATTCGTGTATTTTTATTCAGACTTTATTTGTAGTACTCTTAGACAGTCTGTGAAATTGTGTCACCAAATTCTGGGTAGAGATGTATTTAGATTTCCGCAGTTTGTATTAAGTTAAATTATCAGATTTCGTCTTCCGCTTTGTTTTTGATATTATTATCTCCGTTGTTTTGATATGTTTTGAAATTATAAGGACTTAAAGACTTGAAAAAGGTAATTAAATTGGAATAGTTGGCTTGCCTAGCTTTCACTAATAGGCGCCATCACGACTCCCGAGGATATGAAATCCGGATCGTGACAGAATCGTAATGGCAATATGACTCTTTCTCAAAATATGTATCTTTATTGTAGTTTATCCATTGAAAACACAAAAACAACGAAATCACTTTAAGAATCGTTTATAATTTGGCAGTGTATCCATATCAACAGAATACAGAGTGAATGCTCTGATACCATTGTTGAAGAAAAATAAGGGGCGAGAACAACGAGTTGTGTACCATATTGACGCAGCGGAAATCGTTGAACTCACCACCAAAAAAATTGCCTCAAGTCGAACTTTGAATCACAAGGAAACAAAGTTTATTTCACAAACTAAAAGCCTTCCTTTTTGTGTATGTGATTTTTGTTGGGAGAAGAAGAGAAAATTTTTCACACGCATTCTTCTTTGATAGTTCTTCTGTAGAACAGATATATAGAAGAAGAATAGGAAAAACAACCACTCCACGTTCTTACTTCTCTCAAAATAACGTGCGGTGGTTTTAGGAGTAATAAAACCTACGTTTCCTTATATCCAACAGGCTGTAATTTGCGGCCAATTCAATGAGGTTGAACTTAGACGCAAAGCTTTTTGATTATTAAGCTATAGCAGGAACGCATAATATCCGATAACTCTAGTCTTTTTGGTTTGCAATAAAGTGACTCAAATGTGTGTTTGAGCTACTTTAAGCAAGAATTGTCTCTATCTTTAGCCTCATCTTTAAAAGCGATTACAGGATTCCAACTTGTGGACCAAAGAATAGGCAAAGTGGAATGATCATGACAATATGAAAGTAAAAAATATATTGTACATTTCACAAATGGTCACTCACTTGGAAACAAAAATTTGATACTTGAGAGGGACTTTTTTTAATCCTCTTTTTAGGGCCACAAATTGTGGATTGTTCTTTCTCCATTAAAGCTTGGCATGAGAGGTATGAAGCCTGAAGTGCATGGTCCACAGCTTTTACTCAGCACATTTCTGGTAGAAAGCCAGTTATATCAACAAAGGGATGACAGAATTTTAAACACAAATGTAAAGAGGGTGTCGTTTATTAATGGCTGACTTGTGTAAAGATGAGATCCCTTTTTGCACATGCACATGCTCTACATTTAAGGCATTTAAGTGAGCCACAAAAAGGTCTTTCCAAAATTCTACTTTAGCTAAGGTTGAAATGGAGTTCCTTTTGTTGCGAATAGTTTTACTTATTAAAAAAAGAAACTGATATATATATATCAAATATATGTGACCACTTAGGCAAATTGAAAGAAATCGTCTAATTTTTTTTTATGGTCTTTCATGATTTTTGCTTACTTCATTAATGTTTATGTCACTTCTTTGAATGCTTCGGTTGGTAGGTTCAATTGAAAACCTACAACAACAACAACAAACCTACTATAATTTTACAAGTGGGGTCTGGAAAAATAGATAGTACGCAAATTTTACCCCTACCGTAAATATGAAATGTTGTTTTCAGTAGACCCTTAACAAGAGGAAAAATAAAAAATAATGAAAATAAAACAAAGAAAAATAAGGCGAAAGAAGCAACATCAAGATAGAAATCTACAATATTAGAGTACAAGACTTGCTACTAAAACCCGCATGTTGTAAAAATAGTTTTCTTCAAAACACACCGGCTCTCTTATAACAACGCCAAAAATAGTTTCACTGAAGCAAAAACTCACAAAATCTCTAGTTCCAAGACTCATTATTTTTAGGGCCGTTACAAGGTGAGAAGGGACAATCATGAGCCAAACTGCTTCTTGCTTGAATTACAAGTTGCTTTTGCTTTAGTTTCTGTCGTCTACCTCTTTTTATCGTGTTGGTTATTTATAAAACAATTAAAAAATGGGTCAAAATATTGGCCTTGAAAAGATAACATGAGAACGAATTAACAATCAACTGCACATGAAAATATCATAAGAATTTCTTCATGCTTGACTGATTACAGCAGATACCTAGCTACCTTTACTTTTCACCCTTTCTTTTCTTCACCTTAGAAAGCAAAATCAATTAAAAATTTTGTTCTTATGACCCAAACCTTAGTCACTGTTCCACTCATCTTTCACCTTTTACTTGCCTTTTTACTTATCCAGTGCACAACATAACTTTAAGGTCATCTATAACAGCACTGCCCATCCAATGATACGTACGATTCATCCCATTTGTCCCCACCCCCCACCCACACCCCCGCGGAAAAAAAATAGCAGAGAAGAAGAAAGCAAATACTACTAAGTACTCACTTTAAGAAGTTAAATCAGCGAAGTGGATGAAAGAGTTGTTGATTTACTACTAAAGCAGTAATCAAGGAGCGTCAGTAAATTCGTAAATATTGCTCGTGTGGTCCTGTTGAGGTACTTGAGATTAGGGGTATACGTGGACGGGGTTGGTTCGGTTTTTATCAAAATTAAACCAAACCAATTATATCGGTTTGGATTAGTTCGATTTTGTCAATTTTTTCGGATTTTTTTGTTACATGAATATTTTTCAATCTTACTATGTTAAAGTTATAAATAAAGTTTTGGTAAATGAATATATGTTTAGTAAAAATTAAAATTTTAACAAACAAATGATTTATTAAAATATTCTTATGAAAGAATTTTTTAATAACACATGATAGTTAATTTTTTAGTTGTCTAAGTAATAATTTTTTGTTAATATACGCTTTTAAGATTAAACGAATTTAATAATTAAACATAAAAATCAAGATGATACCTAAGTAATGATATATTTTATTTAATTTTAAATTATCGAAATACCATTTCAAATTCGAAAAAGATATGAGAAATCTTGACATATGAATATGGAAGAACAAAGAGATAATTGGCGCATTTCAGTAATACTTGATAAGAAAGTGATACAACCCATTATTTATAGTAAATAAAAATGAATGCACTTCATAATTTTATTAAATATCTCAAATATTTTTTTGAAAAAAATTCAATATAAAGTCTTAAAAGCATATATAAAAATTATATATTTATATATTGATTTGGTTTGAATTTTTTACTCAATACCAAACTAAATCAAACAAAACTTAGTCGGTTTTTTTAATCGGTTTGGTTTGACTTTTCGATTTGGTGTGATTTTTCGAATTCGATTTGAACTCCTACTTGAGATTAACTGACCCTTGTTATCAATCCGCTTGGCTTAACTACTTAAGTGGTCGATACATATAAATAAAAATGTATGTGTTTGGATAAAAGTTAGGAGCAATATTTTAAAAGGCAGGGGCATGAGGCGAGGCATTTTACTTCTGACGAGGTGAGGCGTAAGCCCTGAGACATGGGGCGTAAGTTTCATGGATCTTTAAATTTTACTAATTTCAAAAAATTTAAGATAGTATAAAATAAAAAATAATTATAAAAATTACATTATAATAACAAAATTATAACAAATAATCTATTTAAAATATTTATAAATTTTAATTCAACTATGAATAATACGAAAAGTATGACATATATCATAATATGCAAATTATCTGCAACGTCATTACAACTCAAACATCAAAAGTAATGTATTCGATACGAAATTTTATATATATATATATATCTTAAGGAGTAATGAATCTTGAAAGAATTTCGTTGTTATAATTTGATATTTTTCTTAAAATACTCCTTTTATTTAATATGTTTTCTATTTGAAAGAGAATTTATATAAAAACATAATTCACAATTTAAATATGATTCTCTAGCATCATTGATATTTAAGTTTCAACAAGTTAATAAAGTGACACATAATTCACTATATAATACCATGATAACTAATTATTTATAAATAGTACTAGCTAATACTGAGCTACTAAATTAATAAGTATTGTATCTCGTAAACGTGGAAAAACTAATATTTAAAAAAATAATTATAAAAAATATGGACTATTATATAGTAAAGACATAAAAAAAAGTTAATAAATAAATACTTTTTTTTAAATGAAAGATTTATTTAAAATTAACTATCATAGCAGTCTTAGTGGATAACGTGCAATAATTTTTATTTTAATTATGACATAAAATGCTCTCGATTTAATTATTTATATTAAGAAAAAAGTAATTTTGAATAGTCAACAATTTATTAAGAAAATTTGAGGATTTACAAGGTCAGTTACTTACATAAAGTTCTATTAGGCGAGCCCAGTACGCTGGGCGTTGGGCATGCCCGAAGCGTAAGCCCTGATGACCGAGGCGTAAGTCTCACAGAACTAAGCCCCACATATAAACCCAGGGGCGTTTTACGAGTGCTCGCCACGGACGAGTTCCAATTCTACCTTTTAATACAGAGGTTAGGAGTACATTATTCAACAATGATCACAATTTCACAACTACCGTTACAAAAGAGAAAAAAATGGAAAATGGGCTGAGAAATATTCACCTGATCATTTTCTGTCCGCTATCATATTTATTTATTTATGTAGAATATTATATTGGGCATCTTCTCACGGGGTGATGATTCTCTTTGGAACATGGCTACTTCTTGTCTGTCTATAGCAGTCACCTTTCGATTTTTCCTATATACTTCTTCTCCATTACTGTTTGCTATTTGTCTTAGCCACTAAACCAAACGACCATGTCTTTCTCTGCATTTTCTTCTTCTTCTTTCACCATTTTTATGTTCCTCTTCTTCTTCCTCCTCATTTTACCTTCCTCCAATTCTTTGCTCAACTCCCCATCCATCAATGCCACCCTCCGACGACAGCCTCGACAACTCTCCGTTAATTATTATGCTAAGACTTGCCCTAAAGTTGAAATTCTCGTTGGCTCAGTAACCTCCCAGATGTTCAAAGATGCCCCGGCCTCTGGCCCTGCCACCATTCGCCTCTTCTTTCATGATTGCTTTGTTGAAGTAAGTCCCAATTCCAAGTGTAGGCGAATTCAAAATTTAAATTTGATAGACTTCGTTGCACTCCTGTTATTATGTTTCAGAATTTTAATATATGTATAATTTTTCACATATATTTAAGTTCTGTTTCAAAAATACTTGAACTCACTAAACAAGGCTCCATCCGCCTCAGAATTTCTTAGATACTAACTTATCCACCGTATTAATTCTATGTGTGCTACATTTTTTGGCTTGTGAATTGTTTTTCATTATGTTTATGTAATTAAATGCAGGGGTGTGATGGGTCAATACTGATATCAACTAAACCAGGAAGCAAAGAATTAGCAGAGAAAGATGCAGAAGATAATAAGGATTTAGCTAAGGAGGCATTTGAGGGCATGAACAAAGCCAAAGCTGTAGTGGAAAGCAAGTGTCCAGGCGTTGTTTCCTGTGCAGACATTCTTGCCATTGCTACCAGAGATTTTGTTCACTTAGTAAGTACCGTCCACAATAATTAAACATTTTACCTTTTTATTTTAGTCTATCCATTTACATAATGAAAAAATTAATTTTATTTTTCTAAAATTTACCCTTATTTACATATTTCAATGTGTCAAGCTAACAATTAATTAAGGTTAATTTAGTGAATACATTTTTTTTTCTTGGAGTTTATTTTTCCTTGATAGGTATACCAAAAATAAAATGGTCACTTATCGAGGTCCGTGGACATATAGCTCCATACTATAGTTTTTCTTTGCCCTTTCTCCGTTTTTTGGTTTTCCATGGGCATATAGCTCCATTATGATGGTAATCATGGTCCTCATCTAAAAAAATTTATTTAAAAAAAAAAAGCATTCTTGTGCGACAGTTTTTGGGTTTCAGTCCGTCAGTATTTTTTTTTATGTCAGCAGTTTAAATACCAGAAGATTAATACAGAGTAGGTTTTTATTGATTAGAATTTCACAGGCAACTTCAGAATTCTCATTGGAGTCAAAATTCGGAAGTCTGGCTAAATTTCATACTGTAAATTCATCATTTTCCAAGATAAAAAAAAATGCATAAGTCCGTATTGTAAATTAACAAGTTTTATCTCTTATCTAAATTTAGAAAAAGTCTCGAATCAAAATACATGAGTATCTTGAATTATTTCTCAATAATTAAATGATGTCAATATGACAAAGTTGGTAGTTTTACTTTATTCTCTCATCGATGTACAGTTCTTAACTTATTCCTATTTTTCGTTTCAATAAAGACTTAGGCCCTATTTCCCTTTTTCTTTTCGTACGTAAGGCACCACAAAAGAAGTCGGGATAAAAAGGAAAGAGTCATTTGGTCTGTTTCTTTTTCATCGAAATTGTCTCCTTCTCATGTCCTCTGCAGAAATCTAATGCATGATATCAAGATGTCTTATCCCTCTATCCAAATTTGAAAAGAAGAATCAAACGGTTCTCAAATGATTAGTATATAGGGAGCAATAGTCCAAAATGTGCAATGCTTTTTTGTTTTTTTTAAACACATAAAAGCTCAATATAGCTGTCCAAGTTTTGGCATGATATGAGAAGCAAGACAAAGGTCATATTTTCATCTATATATTGTATGTGGTTTCAGAATATTTGAGTTTATCCAAGCTAAGGTACAAAATTGCAATAAACATGGCTCATTTGATAGTAAATAACTGATCATACATGGGAAGACATGTGAGGTACACATATATTTTAATGTAATTCCGTGGGCTCCAAAATGAATTCTTGGGATAATAACAAGCTTTTGACTTGTCTTTCTTCGAGAGCCACACTGTATGATTTGAAGAAGGGGCAAATCGTTAGAATTGTCCCACCAACTGTTTTCACCTTTTGCTCCACATTGACTACTGATCGGCCAAATAACAATAGACTACGGCAATGGAATCTTAGGAAGCTTATAATCTCATGAAATTGGAAATTAGGAAGTTTTATAGACATTGACAGTATAGGGTTACTTGTAAATTAATTACAATGATCTGTTGCCATATATAGCCTCATGCAGAATAAGACTGCGTACAATAGACCCTTGTGATCCGACTCTTCCCCGGACTCAGCGCATAGCGGAAGTTTAGTGCACCGGGCTACCTTTTTTGTTGTTGCTATATATCAAATCACATTATGTAAAAAAATTGTTTATATCATTAGCGTGTATATAATTGAATGAATTTCCTAATAGATTTAAGTTATTTTACTTTAATGGCGTCAAAAATTTGTATACTATTAGTGTAATTCAACATGTGTAATAGCATTTAAATATCGTCTCTACAAAAATATTAATTAATGTTAATTTTTACTTATAATTACTTTATAAGTGATGTAATTATATAAATTTATATGTTATAGCCTAATGTCATATAATTTATATGCTTTGAATAGGTTGGAGGACCATATTATCAAGTGAAGAAAGGAAGATGGGACGGAAAAATATCAAAGGCATCAAGGGTGCATCAAAATCTTCCCCAATCAAACTCAACAGTAGACCAACTTTTGAAATTTTTTTCCTCAAAAGGACTCACACCTGAAGACCTCGTGGTCCTTTCTGGTGCACACACCATTGGTTTTGCACATTGCAAACAATTTGTGAACAGACTGTATGACTACAAAGGGACGAAGAAACCTGACCCTAGTATGGATCCTAGGCTTCTCAAGGCACTCAAAATGTCATGTCCACAATTTGGTGGCAATGTTGATATTGTAGCACCATTTGATGTGACAACTCCTTTCTCATTTGATAATGCTTATTATGGGAATTTGGAAGCTAAGTTGGGATTGCTGGCTTCTGATCAAGCTTTGTCTTTGGACCCTAGAACCAAGTCTTTTGTTCAAGATTTGGCAAAGGATAAGCATAAGTTTTTCCAAGCTTTTGCTGCTGCTATGGATAAAATGGGAAGTATTGGGGTGAAAAGAGGAAGAAAGCATGGGGAATTTAGAAAGGATTGCACTATGCATATGTGACTCTTGGGTTGTTGGATTTAATTTCTCCTAATTCTTCATTTTTTTCCTTTTCTTCTTTTTTCCTTTTTTTATTTGAAGGAATCTAGTACACATCTATGATATCTCCTCGGGGACAGGGGAATGGAGAGTGAGATAGTGACTAAATGTAAAGAAAAGAAAGAAGAAAAAAAACATTTTTTCCCTTTAATTCTTTTGCCCTCTCTCAAGGTATTAATGCATGATTTTTATTTTCAGTTATTAAGGGATGATTGGAGTTACCCTCTTCAGTCTTCTATAAATTGATGATGATTTTCTCTCCTTCTATTTTTTTCCTACTAGTCTTATCGTGCGCGGTTTGGGCGTGTACTTAAGTTAGTGAGTATACGACTTTTTAGAAAATCATAAGTACTACTATA